TCAGGTTTGCAAGATGAGAAAGTTCTAGAGGTGCAACACAACAACCGGAACATAGTCAACACGACTGAACTGTACACTTCAAAATGGTTAAGAGGATTAATAAAATCCACTTTGGTGTGGTTAGTTTAAGGTAAATTGGAATTAGATGGGATTTAAACAAAATTAAACCAAAATAACAGCCTTTGTTGGACCCTCAGTTAGCAATCTTGATAACCTTAGAAAAAAGCACATCACTGGCTAGCAAAGGCTCTATCCACAAAGAGACATCCACTTCATGGTGGGGCATCTATAATCCCCGTTGTCCTGATTCTGGTCTTCCAGCCCTCTCCCACCCCAGCAGTACCTCCCATCCACCTGCTCCCCATTCCTACAGCCTTTGGCTCACTGCTGTTAGTCTATCACTTATCACTTTATGCTCAGTCAGGACACACATGTCTGGCATCATCATTAATTGGACCAGGAGCTTCTTGAGGGAGAAACCACATCTAGCAGATCTTTGATACTCCTTCTTCTAGCTCCTAGCTCAATAGCACAATACCACCCATCAAATGTTTGCTAATTGAATAAATTCTACTCTTACAGTTTTCAACATCTTTCCTTTAGTTGTTGGTGGGGCAAAAACTCAAGAGCAGGGAGAGGTTGAGTGTTTTAACTGCTTAAAGATCTTTGTGTTGTTCCCCGTTCATATCCGGTAGAGAGAAAAAGAGGGAAGAATCATGTATTTATAGCTGTGCTTATAAAGATACCACAAAGATGTTCAGTTACAGCTCTCAATGAAAAAGAAGGCTTGAGCAGCAAAGTTTATAATAATCCTTCCCCAATCCATTTATGGTTTTGAAACAGCCAGAAGTCTGTATTATATTAATAGTCCTTAAAAGGGTTCTTACACAAGAGTGCAGTTTGAATGTGGGCAAACCTCAGCACCCTAGAACTCCCATTAATAAAAACCATAAATCCACTGTAAGAGAGTGTTGAATTAGAGTATCGGGTTCCCTTTAAAACATGTTAACTCTTATCCATTGGAAACTTAAAACTCACTCCTGGGTAGACTGCCAAGATAAATATAACCATAAGGAAACAGGGAACGATATGTAATTTTATTCCTAAAATACTCAGGTGTTACTCAGGAAAGAACCCGTGAGAAGAGCAAGAGAGCATTGTGTTAACTTGCTCTTGATAACAGACGCACGAATCTACAGCGACAAGATTAAGAAGCACAGAGCCTGCCTTTACTCTCAAGGGGCTCAAAGTCTAGTGCAGGGGACAGGACACTGCCTCAGTCCCGGGGACGGATAGGAGTGCAATTGGACCTGATCGATGAGCTGCTGTCAACATCACGTACCAGTGCAAATGCCACTCAGGGCAGCTGTCACTGGACAGTACAGATGTGCCACCCAGCACTCACCACCGAGTCAGAAACAGCTCCAAGACAGTAGTGACCACGTAACGGAGCAGAGCCCTATGGGGCCTTCCCAGAACCCCCCATCCCAAGTCCTCCGCCTGCCTCGTCTGTAGAAAAACTTGAGCCAAAGAATACGTTTCATCAGAGAAGTAAGAAAATGCAGATACGAAGGAAAACCATCAAACAAAACAAAATAATAATAGTTTAGTCATTAAACAAAGTCAAGGACCTTTAGTTCCTCTTCAAGGGCTATAGATAATATTCTGAGCCATGTCCTGTGAGCTGTTGTGCAGATACTGAAACCCCACCAGGTGGAAGAAGTTAACTACATGATGACCAGACTGTAGCCATGACATAAGCTGCCACAATTCCAAGGAAACAGGAACAAACCGATCCTGGAACTGAAGACTAACTGTACTTAAAACAATCAAGATGATGCTGCTCAGACCACCCCACGACCAACTACAAGATGACTGTCAGAACTGACTGCGCTATCCTGCACGAAGCCCCCCTCCCTCCACCTACACACCCATGAAACTCCCCTTGAAAAGCTCTTGCCCCCGATTGGCAATGGGGAGTTGGTTCTTTGGGACGTGAGTCCACCTTCTCCCCAGGATTGCTGGCCTCCTCAATGAAGCTATCTTTCCTTTTACCCAACACTTGTGTCTCAGTGTTGGATTCTTGAGCAATAAGCAGTCGAACTTGAGTTTGGTAACAACCATATATAATGGTGTAGGGTGACCTTGCACAACTAAAAAGGGAATGAAAATAGTGGTTTCATTGCTTCTAATACAGACTCCCCATTAGACACTGAATTTGAAGGCAGGAGCAGTGTGTTCCAGCCACCTGTGCCCATCCCAGTCCCCTATCTGGGAACTCTGGACTGGACGTGTACAGCTCATGCAGTTATCACTGGAACCAAGAGTGTCACATATAACTTATCAAAAGGTCAAGCAGTCAGTCTACGGCAGAGATGGAATCCAAATCCAGACTTTCCCGAGTTGAGTCGTTGTGACAGAGACCACGTGACCAGCAGCACCTTAAACGTCTCTTATCTGACCCTTCACAGAAAAAAAACCTGCTGACCCCTGGACCAAGCCTTTGAGCTCGGGAGGATGAAATTCACATTGACGGAAATAAGAAAATGCAGAGAAGAAAGGGTTTGAAGGAAAAACATGGGGAGCTCCATTTTAAACGTCAGAACTGATAGAGATGCCGTAAAAAGTAAGATGTGAGATACTAACACTAGGGAGAGAGGCCAAGGGCAGAGGTTTAGACTTAATGTGATGATGAAGCAGTGAGAAGGACTAGATGGTAAAAGGAAAGATGGCAGTGGTTTAAAACTCGTTATGGACGTGAAGCTCTCTATTCAAAAGGAGAGCTTACACAGAAGTCCCAATATGTCAAAAAAGAAAAAAAAAAAAAAAAAAAGGAGAGAGCTGTTTTGTCTGCATCTAGGAAGAATGCACCAGAACTCGAGCTGCTGGACAGCCCTCTGCCTCTGTAGCAGCTCCCAAGAATCCACCAGTTTGAAAACCAAAGGCATGCCTCCAATGATAAAAGCCAGAAGGTCAAGGTTGGTGCATTTGGCTGGATGAACTTCCACACTTTGGTGGAGGGAAACAGTGGAAGATATTGAAAAGGAACAACCAGAGAGGTAGTAGAAATAGGCTTATGTTGTAGCCAGGACCTGCCCGACAAAACTGACTCAGTAGAGAAGAAAAACCCTGAGACCCGTGTGAGCAAGAGCCAGCCAGCCTGCTGGGGGATGAGAGACCACCCAGAGGAAAAGGAGCCACCCAAGCTGACAGCTGCCAACCTACAGACACGGGCAAGAGTCCATCCCAGATGAGCCAGTCACCAGCTCACCTGCCAGCTGGCCAGTGATGCGTGGAAGAACATCGTGACCTAAGCCACTAAACAGAGAGCAGTTTGTTCTGATGTAAAAGACAGTACAGGAATTGATGCTGTAGGTACCGCATGATCATAACTGCTCTAGAGGATTTCAAAAAGCTTTGCTTTTTCCTCTTCTATCTTTCAAATTGGCTATCATGAACAGTAATCACTCAGCAAGTGTCGTCAGTACTGTGTTATTACTATTATTGTCAATTAACACTGGAGATGGGTGGAATTACAGCGCCAGCGTATATGACTGTGCGTACCCAGTCATATTTATGAGTTACGCAGAAACCTAACAGGTGCACAGGGCTTTCACATACTTTTGCTTTCTTACAGGTAGAAAAAAATGCAACCTAAGTTAATATGTATTTCAACAATAAACGAACGCACGATGTTGGAAATTAGATATATTTTGCCAATTTTCTAGCTGTATTTGGAAGGTAGTTGCTATGAGCAAAAGAGGGCTGACAGTGTTTCAATGCAAAAATTAAGAGACATTAAAATCAACAATGGGAAAATAATTTGAGCCTAAAATATTTTCCAAAGAATGTCTCCCATACTTCATGTTTTTGGTGATGAGACCTCTCTGCTGGATTTTATTTCTTACCAATTAATTGTGTTATTTTTCCCCCTATGTGTATAGTATGTGATAAGAGAGTATGTGACACAGGCATATATACATACTTCTCTCCTACCTCCCACGTGATTTTCCCAGTAAGATTCATTTTTAAAAACATGGCTAATGTTTCTTGAAATAAAAAATTCATGTTTGGGTTGAAGGTGAATAACCACATTCCTGTTTCTTCTTTCTTCTGAAAAGGCCAGGTAGGGGAATATTTCCAACTGGGTAGGATTCTCCCAGTGTCTAAGGCATTTATGGACTGAGGTAATATGAGAAACATTTCTTTCCTCTTTTATAGTATGTTTATTGATAAATGTGGGGAATAAAAACATGGTCAACTGAACAAATGCTTCCTCCTGAAAGTTTTTTTTTTTTTTTTTAAAGTCTAAACCCATAGATGCAAAGAACAAAAAATGAGATGGGAGTAGACAAACACGTAGGGTAGAGAAAACAATAGGCAGTGGCAATTCACAGAGTAGAAAGTGCCACTTTCACAGAGTAGAAAGTGAATTTTCAGAAAATCTGAAAACTAAAGCATCTAGAGACTGTGGACTCGTTTGGGGACACCAATCAGATGAAAAGAAAAGCCACCCCCCCCCCACTACCCTATAAAAGACCAGCAGTCCAGAAGCTTCCGGTCAGCTGAATGTCACGCTCTTAATCATGAATGGATAACCCCAAGTCAAACTTTTGAAGAAAGTCTCCAGCTGTAAGAATAAAATCCAACTAAAAAGTTTAAAAAGCACCGACAGTACAGAAAAATCTTTAAAAGATAATCTGAAGAGATAGAAAATATCATAGCCATGGAATAAGAACAAGAAGCTATAAAAAGGGAGACAAGAGGAAAGTTCTTGGGAATTAGACATTTTCAAAAATAAAAATTTCAATAGGTAGGTTAAAAGTGGAGAAGAACTCGATTACTACAACAAGAAGGCAGAGGGACAGTAGGGAAACGTGAGTAGAGAAGAATACTCTAATCAGACACGTGAAAAACTAGAGAACTAGAAAAAAGAGGAAAGAACGGAAGAAGAAACGATCAAAACCAAATAAAGAGACAAATAAACAAATAACACACTTTCCAGAAGTGAAGTGACTGGCCCTTCACACTGAACATTCACACGAAGAGCCGGGCACAAGAAATAATAAGCCTCACACCAAGGCGAAATTTCCAAATTCCAAGGGAAGAACAGTTCTCAAAATATTAGAGAAAATTATACAGAAATCGAGCTCAAAGACAGAATGACATGGGCAATCACAACAGCAGTGCTGGATGCCAGAAGAAAACAAAACAATGCCTTTAAAATTCGGAAGAAAAACGCTTTTCACACATCAATACTATATCCAGCCAAACTAGCAATTAAATGTGAGCCTACAATAAAGACATCTTCCAGTTGGTACGGTCTCAGAAAAGTAACCTTCCTCTGGAAGGTTCCATGTTTTCTGGCTGCTGAGCCTTTCCTAATGTTAGCCATTACTCACATTACTTATCAGGCCTTCCCTCTCCTCCACTCCCCACTTTCTACTTTACAAGCTAAACTCCATCCAGGAAGGTATAGTTCGAAGCCGTCACCACCTCCAGGAAGGATTTTCTGTTTCTGCCAGAAGGGGGCAGTCTATTCCTCTGGAGACTCACAGACCTCTTTACTCCCCTAAAATACTTCTGTCTGCTTCTGATTAGTGTGATTTAAGGCCACGACTTTTCTCCCTAAACAAGTACTAGAAGTTTTCTACAGCAAAATATCTGCCTGTTTTTTTCTTGTGGCTCTGGTCTTGCAATGCCTTCCCTACTCACCAACTGTGACTAATACACTTTCTTCAATATAGTAGACATTTACTAATAAGAGAGCAATTGACTTAAAATTTAACATTAATCCATTCTGCTAAGAATACCACACCGAACCCATTTCTTCTCTGCTCCAATGCCTTCCACATCCAGATTTCCCAACTCAGAGTCTCTGCACGTAGGGCAGGAAGGATCATTTTTGGGGAGTGAAAAGGAAAAGAAAAAAAAAACTCTTTCAATTGAAAAAAAATGATCTTAGGACCCAACAACATCCATGCAAAAATCTGTACATGAATGTATGTAAGAGCATTATCCACAATAGCTTAAAAATGGAAACAACCCAAATGTCCACCAACTGATAAATGGAGAAATAAAATGGGATCTATACAGACAATGGAATATTACTCGACAAGGAAAAGGAACGGAGTACCAATACATGCTGTAACAGGAGTGAACATTGAAAATGTTACATAAGTGAAAGCAGCCAATCACAGCAGACCTCCTATTGCATGATTTCATTTACATGCAATAACGAGAACAGACAAATCTATAGAGACAGAAAAGTTGAGTAGTGGCTGCCTAGGGCTGCGGCGTGTGGGGAGAATGGGACATGACCACTAATTTAGAACACGGGACTTCTTTAGGGGACAATGAAAAATTTCTAAAGTTGGTTATAGCGATGGCTGCACCATGCTAAACATTCTAAAAACCACTGAATTGTGCACTTGATTTTTTTTAAAAAATTTATTTATTTATTTAATTTTGTCTGCTCTGGGTCTTAATTGCTGCACGCACGATCTTCTTTTTTTTTTTTTTTTTTAGTTGTGGCACGTGGGCTTCTTAGCTGTGGTATGCGTGCGGGATCTACTTCCCCAACCAGGGATAGAACCTGGGCCCCCTGGATTGGGAGCACAGTCTTAACCACTCGACCATCAGGGAAGTCCCACATTGTACACCTTAAATGAGTGAACTATATCTCAATAAACCTGTTCTAATAAAAAGATCAATGTGGCAATAAACTAAATTCCTACATTATTTGTGTTTAAGACAATATCATTTGTGTTTAAGAGCACTAGCTTAAATAGGGCAGGCTTTGCAAAGTACGGTAAACCTGAACAAGGTCAAAATGCGCATCTGGGATCAGAAAACACCAAGTTGAAAAACAAGGTCATATCAGTTACTTGCCTCAAAATAAATATTTAATCTGTTCACTGTAGAGTTTACTAGTTTAAGAGAAGCCATACTAAAGCAGTAGTGAAAACTATTGGGTTTTATGGGAATCACAGACGGCCTGGTTATATAACCTTACGTAGGTCACTTCATTTCAAAAGGTTATTTTCTCTAGTTTCACTCCTTGCCAATCACCTTATTTCATGGGCATATTCTTGGCAATGAATGGATAATATATTTCATATTTACCAGGATCTGAAAGCACTGTTGAGGTTTATTCCAGGCATCTGCACACACTTAGGGCACATGATCTGCAGGGTTGGTAAGTTAAAGCACCCACTTGGAAAGGCTTCCCGTTTGAGGGATACTATCATAGTTACAAAACAAATGTAGAAAACGTTTTGAGTCTTCCAAAATGAATGGAAAAAGTGTCTGAAAGTCTCTTAAAAGTAAACAATGATTTCGTATAGTTTTGAACTTTAAGGTTTCATTTTGAAATACGTCCCACAAAGGCACAATGATCTACTGGTGGAGGAGAGGAGAGTAAAAATAGCCTAATGAATGGCCCATCTACAATCCTTCTTTTGTATGCCTTCTTCAAAGATATCAGAATTAAGAAATCAGGCCTACCAAACCCTGATTTTAACTAAAAGTAAACTTAAATCCTGCTCTCTGTATCTTCTTTCAGAACATATTCCAATTCTCACTCGCCCTAGTGTAACTCATTTGAATACATCAGAGGTTTAAGGTGTGGGCCTAATTTTAAAGAAGAAAAATGGATGTAGGTAAACTATTTTCATTAAACATACGCTACAGCCCTTCCATCATTTTGCCTTTGTTTTAAATTCTCTTCACTTCCTTTCATCTCTGCTTCACTTGTAACTATCAGCTTTTTAGTCTGTGTGACACACAACACGAACCTGCTTTGATTTAGAATTATGATCCACACTGGGTTGAAAAATATTTAGAAGTTCTATGCAGCTGTGTCACTGCACTCAGAACTGACAGCAGTGAGAGACAAAAATGCACCAATCAGATAACTGAAGACTCTGTGGTTCGTGAAAAGCAAACCTTCAAGACACTGGGTTGGATGATGGTGTGATACGAGCCTGTGAAACTGTTTAATTTTGGTGCGTGAAAAAAATCACAATGAACGAGTGCAAATAGAACGCTCTTATTTCTGGAATACAGCCTCATTTATTTTTCTTGGCTTTTCTTTTCACCCAGGTGCAAAATATAGAGTGTAGAATTCAGATTCTAAATTGCAACTTATATTAGCTACACCGCAAATGTGGGGCAATTAACTTCACTAGTCATACATTCATTATTTAATTTCAACTTCATAATTTGTCTATTGCCGGAAGAACATTTAACAAGAAATTTATCCCCTTAACAATTTCTAAATGTAGATTGTGAACTGCAGGCACAACGTTGTACAGGAGATCTCTAGGACTTAACCATCTTATATAACTGAAACTTTCCCTCCATGGAATAGCAGCTCCCCATCTCCTCCTCTAGCCCCGGGCAACCACCATCCTGCTCTCTGCTTCTAGGAGTCTGACTACTTAAGATACGTCATGTCAGTGGAATCATAAAGTGTCTGTCCTTCTGTGATCTGCCCTCCACTTTCATCCATATTGTCACAGCATAATGTTTTAAATGGTTCGCTTGCGTAGGGCAGATTAGTTGGTGGCAACTGGGCCACACCTTGCTTTATCAGTTCCCTACCTCTGCCCTTTATGAATCCTCTCACAGTCAAGACTGTGTCGCACCTGGAGATGACTTCCCTGCTCACTGAGGTGAGAACATTGTTTTGATGTCCGGAAGTCCTGCTTTTCTTTTTAAAAGTCAAGGTCTCCTGGCAGCTCCTCTGCAAACTACTATGGCAGCTGGGCTACAGGTCACATGCATATTACATAATGGCAGTCCATGCGTTCAAACGAGCATCTCCAAGCCACGATTCCCATAGCAACACACAGAGATTTTACTCATCTCAGAGATGAAGCAGCCAGCAGAAGTATTCTAATGTTAGTTACCCTCGATTTTCTTTCTTTTTTTTTTTTTTTAGCAAGATCAACACGGCACTTTTTTCGAAGCAGTCATTTTTTCAAAAGAAAACCGATGAAGACTGTGTTAAAATATGTTCACTTAAAAGTTACCGAGTTACCACACACACCAAGGCCCTTTGAACATGAACAACAGTCGATGCTTTAGAAATAGCTGCTATTTGAACGAATGCATGGGGAAAAGAATCCAAGTCATGGCCATCAGAGAAATGAAACAGTCTCAGCTGAATTCTGTACTTCTATGTTTCATATGTCTTTTGCAGTCCCCCCTTCCATATATATGCACTTTGTTACTGTGGGATGGAGAAGAAAGTGCTCCAAGGGAACAATTTTAATGAATAAAATCCTTTCTTGCTTTATTTTTGAAAAGCATAATGCAATCCATTTTGTAAATATAAGAAAAATGCCATCATAAAACACCTAGGGAGTAAAATTTGGGAGAAAAATTGTTGTCTAAGAGAATAAACATTAGCTTGAAGAATGTCTGTTTTTCTGAGCAGAGAAATGGTTTCCTGAAAAAACTGAAGTAAAATCCTTTTGATATTAGAAGGAGTTTTTCCTCTTTGCATATTCAGGGATCCTTTCTGTGTGTCTAAATAAACCATCCACCCACGGAAACAAGTTGCCTGGATTATAAAACAACATAAAAGGCAAGACCACCCATATATCACACTGCCTTTCTCTGTCAAGGGAAGAAAGTACATTCCATTTCTCGTACCCCTCTTCCGCCAGAGAGACCACATGTGCACTTCAGGAGGCACTGCCACAGGTGGCCCATCACGGACCCAGCACGACATGCAAAGAGCCTGGCGGAGAACGGAGGGTTTTACCTTTGCTTTCTCCAGCTGGGCCTGGGCCTGTCGTCGTGCTTCTCTGCGCACCGTCTCCCGATCTTCCTCCAAAGAAACATCTGAATCGGAGGGACGGCTGGTGTAGGAGTCTGCCGAACCCTGGAGAGGGAAATCGACCTTTTAAAAGAGATTGCATCGGGCTTCCCTGGTGGCGCAGTGGTTGAGAGTCCCCCTGCTGATGCAGGGGACACGGGTTCGTGCCCCGGTCCGGGAGGATCCCACATGCCGCGGAGCGGCTGGGCCCATGGGCCGCTGAGCCTGCGCGTCCGGAGCCTGTGCTCCGCAACGGGAGAGGCCACAGCAGTGAGAGGCCCGCGTACCGCAAAAAATAAATAAATAAATAAAAGAGATTGCATCTATGAGGTCTGCAATGGCCACGTCTCACTGACACGGCAGTCAGCTTCCTAGACTGTGCTATCCATTCCTGAAAAGAGGAGAAAATAATCCACCTGGTGGCAAACCAGCTCCCCACATGGCGCTCTGGTCTGCAGACCACGCACTAGGAGAGCTGTGCCTTCCAAATTACCATTCCTTCCCAAACCTTATGGGCCAGTTAGCAGCCTTTCTGGAAGCCAGAACAAGTTCTTTGTATCATCAAACCAGCTCTGTGCTGCAGTGCACCGTAGGGCACAGGCGGGTTTCAAGGAGAGCTTCAAGAACAGTCTACAGCTACAGCAAGAATTTCCAATTAGAAAGAAGACAGGCTAATAAAACATACAGGAAAGTCGAGCGAGTTACCAACTTGAACTCTCTGAAATGTCACTACCATAGATGTCACCCACTTTCATCTTAAGCATCCTTTTGTACCTACCTCAGTATTCACCTGATACCTCCTCTGACAAACCTGTAATGCAATAGCCGCCAGCTTCCCTCAGTCTTTAAGCAACACATTGTTTTTCAATCCCTTTAAATAGATATTTCATCAAAGCTGTCTACGGAAAACACCTGCCCGGGAGAGCTCCTAGGGCAATAAATCACAGCATGGGAAAAGGAGCTCGGAGGATTAGAGGACTCTCTCCCGTTCCCTCTCCAGCAATCAACATATTACTCATCACGGGCGCCCCGGACAATCCTCACTGTACCAGCAGCAGAAACAACGACAAAATAACGTCTCCCCTCAACGAGAGCCCTGGAGCTTACAGAGATGTCCGAATTCTTCAGCCTTCCTCCCTTGGCGCGTTTCAGAAGCCTGACCCAGGTGGCCTTCATCAGCCAGACAGCGCCCTTCTCGTCCGCAGCTGCAGCCCCGGGCACCGATCCTCAGTGCGCGCTGAGCCCCGCAGAACCCCTTCTCTGTTCCCGTCCATGCTCTGGGCAAACCCCTCCTCTCCGTCCCTTTCTGCCTCCGGGGCTTTCACTTCCTAGCCCGGAGGACTCCAGTCCAAGGAGATTCTTATTTTCCCATTCCAGCCAGTGGGGAGGGGAAACAAACACTCCTATGATTTCGATTGCTTTAAAGATAACACTTCAAGTGCATCCAAAGGCATCAACTCGTCCTAAACTTCATGCATCTTATTACCCTATTCTCTTCCCGACTCTTGGATCGTTAAAAGACATTAGTTGTAAGAGAGCCTTTAAAACACACACACACACACACACACACAAACCAACCTAGTGCAAAACGTATGCAGTGACATTTGCAAGTGCAAAGGTCAAGCCTTATCTTCAGAGATCTGGAGGGGGAGGGCGGAGGACGCGCTCACCGCACTGGGCATGCTCCGTGTGTAGCCTTTTTACGCAGACGCTCACATCACATGGTTAGTCTCTGTCAGATTGCCATTTTGCATCCAAAGTGTAAACATCTGGAAAGGGCTTTTTGCTTCTATAGTAACAGGCACCTGTAATGTTTGGCGTGTTTCTATTTCAGATCATTCTCTCAAAAATAAAGCGTAATCTCTACCTCTTTTTTTTTTTTCATTTA